TCAAATATAGAACAATTGTCTTGATATGAATTAATAACCATCCGTTTTATATTTGTTACACATTTTTCTTTTCTTTTCATTATCTTCTCTGCAAACACAGAATAAACATGAAGTTCTTTTTCTTTCTTTTATATTTTAAAATTAAATTTGATATCATATATTGAAAAGAGGGTGTGGGTGTGGCTGTGAGATGTAAATGTAGATGTGAGTTGTAGTCTTCTCTTCACTCACATTATCAAGATGATACAGTATCCGATTAGATGATTAATGATATACATCTGATAGGAAAGTCAGAAAAATGATCAGAACTCAATAGAACGGTACCATATCTTAAAATTCATTATTGATTCAAATTGACATGAACCAAAGAAAATATACTACTGTTTGGGTTGCTTCTTTCTATTATATAACTCTATTCATTTAAAAGTTGTATCAAAATAAAAACATTAAAACTTAGCTGAAACATTCTTCAGTTACAACTTATCTTAATATATAATGAAATCATTTATTCACTTCTAGTAGAATCATCAATCGATGATCTTGCCTCTCATATTGTTAAATTCTTTTTCTTATTCTTCGCAACAATGTCGAGAGATCTGTAAAAGAGAGAGAGCGTTATGCTTTGTCTAAAAAGTCTATATAAATTGCTCGAATATATTTTATCGTTCATTTTCTATACAACTTGTTAAAAGTAAACTGCCACTTCAAAAATCTAATATTTTTTTTCTTAAGATTTATCTCGATTTTGTCGATCGAAATTTTCTCAAAGTGTGTTTTTCCTAATATTTATAGCCCGTCTAGTGATACGCCATTTATATACTTATTATCTGAAATTATTTCGATAAAAGATTGATTGCTAAAAAGCAAAAATTGAGATCAGCAGATTAATTTGTATCTTTGATGCATAAACTAATCTGTTTTATATACTTTTCTTTTCGAACAAAATAAAACAAAATAATATAAGGCATCTGTCTTTTTCTCTATCGTATAATTTTCATCCGATATTTTTGATTTGTCCTTCTGTCTACAATACGTTATACAACTATATAGTAAAATACTTAGTATCAATGATGTTGCTTTTTCTTTGGAAGTCTATACGTCTTCATATACGATGTGAACACTCACATAATAAAAATCAATAACGTCTGGAAAAAAATACATGTGATAAGATATAATAAAACGAATATTAATAAGGATTTTTTTCATTTTAGAAGATAATAATGACAAGTGACATCTATAAAGCATGTGGATATAATGAGATCGATTATCTTCGAATATTAATTGAAACATCTCTAGATGATGCAAAAATCAATCAACTAGAGTCAAATGGAAGCACTGTTTTACATTTGGCTTGTAGTAAAGGCTATACAGATATTGTTCGACTTCTTTTAAATGATCGTCGAGTTGATCGGCACCAAACGAATATAAACGGTCAAACTGCTTATCAAGTTGCATCTACAGATGAAATTCGTCAACTTTTTCCTCGACAGAAACGTTCAGATAATCCATTTTGTACTAATCAGAACACATTAAATCCACTAGAATGTTTTATTAATGAAAATGCGTCAGATTCACATTACACTACTTATTATCCTACACAAGCACCGATTATGACAGAATGTCTTCTTCAAGTTCACGATCATAATTATAATACAATTACTGTTCCAATAATTAATGGAATACGAAGGTTCTTTGGAAATGATCCTGAGAAAAATAAAATTGATAAATGGGTCGAAAACCTACAACTTCATATTGTACAATATTTTACTGCAGAAGATTGTCAACTCAGTTCTGAAGATTACTCAAAGACAAATACAGATATTAAAGAGTATTATGAAACAAAAAACGTTGAATATCTTTTGAAACTGTATACGTTACATACATCAATATGTAAATCTTTTGCACAAGATTCAATCAAAACAGAATATCTTTATGCACCGATTTCTTTTCATTTATCAAATCTTAGCGAACGTGCTTATAAAGGACTTTCTTTTCGTGGATTAACAATGAAAGAAAATGAATTTATGAAATATAAACAAGCATTTCAGTCTCAAGATTCGTATATAAGAACAAACACTTTTTGTTCAACATCAGCTGATCCAGTAGTAGCTGAAATGTTTACTATTCCTAAAAAGATCAAAGGAATAATCAATGTAATTATGATGTTTGATTTCGTGAAATCATGTTCAACAGCTATAACTCTTTTTTCATCCTTATCAAAATTAAAATGTATCTCACAATTTGACGATGAACAAGAAATACTTGTCCTTCCAGGAACAATCTTTTCGGTGAAAAATATTCAAGAAGATGATCAAACTCATATAACAACAATCCATCTTGAAAATTTTGATACAAGTGAAGCTGAGCATGAAATACATCAAGAAAGATTTCAAAGTTATATAGATACTTTCTTTACTGATACTTGATTTTGTTTTAATAAACGTATTTTTTTCTTCTACTTGTTTTTATTGAATCATGATGATAAAAGTTTCTAACATTTTCATTCATAAGCAGTAAAAAATAAGTGAAATTTATTATTAATAGTATATTTAGACGAGCTGCAATGATACGTGCTTCGGTCTTGTCTATAATATTTTCAATAATTTTTCAGCACTTCTTGAATATTGAACTTGTAGGCTTAAGAGTAGTATCTGTGCATAATATCTTGAGATATGCAGAAGGTGAGTAAAATCAGCCATAAATCAGAACTTTTCATGATTATTAACTGATTATGGTTATATTTATTATTTTGTATGTTGTGTTTTTACCTTGAAATATAGATTTAGTTTGAAGCTTAATTTTGATTTTATTTTTAGTGGTTGGTTGAGAAATGAAGATTCATCAGTCGTTTCTCGTTTATCTCGATTAATCGAAGCTGTAACAAATTTAAGTGTGAGAACAACTGAAGATCTTCAGGTATGTGAATAATTCGAGGATAGGAAATAAAATTAAGAAAACAAAACAATTCGATTGTAATTTATGGTGTTAGTGGTCATTATGAAGTACATTTTGATTTTGCACGAGTAACTTATGAATATTTATTTATTTAATTTGTTTACAAAAATTTAAATTTTCTTGAAAAATCGTATTGCAACATGGTTAACTCATTTAAGTTAATTGCATATTATTGGAATTTTGTTATAATAATATAATACATGTTCCTAGTTGAGTGATGTCGAACAAGGTGATGCAACAGTTTTTCCTGTAGTTGGCGATCACTTGAATCAAGAAAAAAGAAGTGCTACATTTTAGTATAATATTTATGCATCGAATGAAAGTTAGATAAACACTTCGTTTTATTTTTTCTGGTATAGATAATAAATTATTTCTATCTTTTCAGAAGATTGCAATACTCTTCATACAGATATTTTTTAGTTTAATTAAATGGATTGATAAACATGGTGAAGAATTTCGTCGTCCATGTGTTACTAGATTCAATAGCATGGGTGAATCATCTATTAGTACAAAATTGACATAGGGATTTTAGAAATCTCATTCTGTATTTAAGTTAAAATCAAATCGATGATATCAACAATCTGAATGTCACAGAGAAAAATCAGACTGAGTAATTATGTCTTTTATCATAGTGAATATTAAGATTTCGTTTTCTTTGTGTGAATTGCATTTCTAAAGGTAGAACGAGAAATCTATGTTTTTCTTACTTCTATCAGTTTTTTGTTTATTTAAATAAATGAATTCTCTACTTTTTATTCAATTTAATACAATATTAGTTGAATGCTAAAGATTATTATGTTTATTGTAAGATTAATGTCATTATAATCATTAAGAATTGATCTTATTAATAGACAAAAAAAATGTTTGATATGACAATGAAATGAAGATAGAGAGTATGTATATCATCTGATTTAATACAGCAAAATCAAACATATGTGAAAAATATTTCTAATATAAATTATGAGGATATATTTCATAAACACATATTCATATTTTTTATATAATTTTTAATCTTGATTTAATCGTATTTGTAAAAAAGCAATAGTTAGAATATAGAAATTTTTTTATCATATACATAAAGAGATATAATTTGAATCAGTTAAATATAAAACAATTCTTTTTCTTTTTTCGTCATCATGATTATCAAATTGAAAACCATATAATTTGTTAAGATTTTCAACTGTTTAATGTTAAAAGATTTGAAAATAAATTCGAAAAATGGAAATTATCGATTCTATATATCAGACATATATTCTTACATTTTCTCAATGTAAATTAAAGTGGAAAAAAATATCTCAGATAGAGTTCTATCAATTGAAAAACATACTTGATTGTTTTCAACTATGATTATCTTTACAATAATAAAAGTTTAGTGGTAGAGAAAGAAAGAATGGCAAATAAAATCGATTAGACAATTTCATACGATAATCATTGAGGTTCAAAAGTCTTTAATTACATAATATTTTATGTTAAAATATTTTAGTAAGATAAAGATATTGAAAAATCTTATTAATAAAAATAAATTCATTGTTTTATGCAAACGATTTTTTCTAAACAACAATGACGTTCGCAGAATTATTTTTAATCAATACTAAAAACATGCTTTCTCTTATAAATAGCTGAAACTAATCAGTTTCATATCGTTAACATTTTTTTTCATTAATAAATGTAACGAAACAACTGCAATGGTATTATTTTTTTTGAAATAATCTAATGTCATATGAGACTATTTTGATGAAAACTTGTTCGAGTAATCATTTAAATAATTTTATTTCCTCAATAATAATATTTTTGAATAAAGAGAGAAATGATATAGAACTGACAAGTTTCTCTCACAATATGAAGATCAATCCACAGTGGACTACCGTGTGAATATGTGACAGAACTTTGACAAAATCTAATTTATTTATCATAACTATGATTTTTTTTCATTCTACCTACATTCGACTATGATATTTTCATTGTAATTACGTGTGTACGAGAGTGCGATCATAATAAGCCTTATTTAACATTCGTGTTGTTGGACACGAACATATATGCATGTTCGTAGTGAGCAAACGTTGCATTTTCATCTCCATAGAACACGTGGAAACGGTTGAGTGATTTTGTTTTAAAAAATGTTTAATTTTTTTCTATATCATCTTGTTTCTTTAAGAAAAATCAATTGAATTTTATTGTAGAATATTTTGTCCAATGTTATGTTAAATGTGAAAGAGAAAGTCTTACTAAAAGTTTTTCAGCAATATTTTCTTTATATTTTCGTGGAAAAATTGAAATAATTTAATTATATTCTTTATGATTATGACAGTTGTTCTAATAATGAACAAAATATATATTGAAAATATCTGCAATGATTTATGTAAGTTTTTAATAAATTGTTTCGCTTTCTTCAATTTGAAAATTTTCATTGAAAATATTTTTCTAACAATATTTGATTTTTTTTAATTTGAAAATTTATGAAAAAAAACTTTACTAAATGAATAGACTTTCTTATATTATGAGGTTAGTATTAATCCATTTTGTCTTTTATTTTAAATAGAATTGAGAATTAATTTATCGTATATAATATATTTTAATCAAAATGTTATATTATCGAAGAACTCAAAATAGAAATTTAATAAATTCGAACTGTATATAAAAACACTTTCTTTTACTTCTTTCTTAGACAATAGATTATATCTGATGTGTCATCTGCTTTGTACTCAATATTTTTGAGTCTTCTATTCCATAATATGATGTTTCTTGTTAGAATATTAAAGACGAAAGGATTTATCAAAGTCAGATTAGAAAGTTTTTAATTTCTTTGCTACTACATGACTCGTTTTTCTTAATTTTTATTTCTTTTCTGTTTCATAGCAACCTGTGCAACGTTTGCGAATTTTGTACACAGATCCTTCTATTTCTTTGAGCTTATGATCAGCGAGTTTGTGTTTGTTTGATTTGCTAATTGTTGTCTATTGCATAGTCTTCCTTATATATTATATAATTATTCACGATTGAACTTATCGTCAGTCGCTTTTCTTTGTAGGAACTTGGGGCTTCGAAGGATTCATTTCATTCAATGAGCCAGCGTTGCTTCTCTATTGACTTCTTCTGGCAACATACTAACTATTAAAAAATTTTGATTGATTTTACACGAGAGAGCTGAAGAGAGACGAATACGAGACAAAAATGTGGATATTTCGTTCTGTTACCTCTCACATTATTGTATACTGTACATTAGAGAACGAAAGAACACCTTGAGTCGTTATTGAGGTAGACACGAGATTCGATTTACTATCTTATTCGAAGGTTAAAAGAGAACGGAGAAAAATCAATAGAGCAGAAAAGAAAATGAGTAAGTAGATTTTTGCTAGAAGTTTGTTGTTTGCGTGATTGAATATCTTGATTAATTCTCGTATGAAAAGTGAATTACCTCGAATGTGTTCATATATCTTTTAGGACGAAGATATATTATGATTAAACATAGAAGAAAAAAATTTTATTTGTTTTTTGTTAAACAGAATTAAATAAACAAAACATTTCTTACAGTGATTGATTAGATCAGGATAAACAATAAATTTTGTTGTAAGGTTAACTACATTATTTGATATATTATAATTATTATTTATCGTACAGAAAAAAGTCAATATTCTCGAAATTTTTACAATATTTGTTCGAACATTTTCAAGTGAATTTCATTCTATCGAGAAAACGATTTTTTCTTTACGATTACATTAAGCAAAATGGTGCTATATTCTATAAAATATCATCCAAAACAATGAAATTTATAGTGATTCTTACTGACATAATTATTAATTTTGGAAAAAAAAAGTTAAACAATTTGTTTTTGTTACTCGTAATTTCAACTTATCCTTTTTTTCTTATTTTTACAATAGAAATTTAATGTAAATATACTATATTACTATATTGTTTTATTCTAAAATTTCCTTAGATTTAAAACTATATCAACTGTATCTTTTGAAATATGTTTTGGCAACTAAACAATTTCCAGTAGAGAGTATAAATAAAAATACGATGCTTTAAGTAATAAAGCATCTTGACTTGAATGGTGAGATTACGAAAGAATTTTTTATACAAATAAATATTGAATAAAATTCTATTGAATTTTTTTCTATTTATTTTATTCTAATAAGTTTTTATCTGTGACAAGAAAATTAAAAAATTATTTCTATTTTTCGATTGTGGAATATCTATTAGTAAATATTCTCATTTGTTTCTTATCTAAAACTATTTCTCTTTTATATATTTTTTTTTTGTTTAATTATAGTCCAACAAGAGATATTAAACATCAACTTGCATTATTTGATATTGGATATATCGACAAATATTTATCAGATGTTTGTGGATTCACTGTTGCATCTGCAAAAAAATTGAAAATATTAAATCGAACAAACGGACTGTCTCCTACTTTTACTGAATGAAAATAATTTTATAAAGTTTATAAGAATGTTTCGGAAATGAACCAAGTCAATATATTAATGTGTTTTCATCCTGCAGGAATATGTGAATTATTTATGACATTTAATTGAACAATGATAATTATTGCTTCATCTATATATTTGTATCATTATAGCAGCCATTTACTTATTCTATATTTTTAAGGTGAAAATATTTGAAATATAATTTAAAGAGTAATTTTATCTTTATACTTCGATCATATATCTTTAATAAATGTATGAAATATTTACAATTTAATATTGGCAAAAATATATCATCAAAAAAAAATGATATCACAAATTATTCTATTCAAGTCGAATAAACTACGAAGAACAATTTTGAGTAAAACGAAATTCACTTTCTCATAAATAAAATAATACAGGAAGTTTATGTGAGAGTATTAAAATAAAGAAACAAAGTTCATGGAGATGACTATAAAAAAAGGTTAGTAAGAATAGAATAAAATTATAAAAAAATGAATAATAATTATAAGATTAAACAATCAAAACTGAAAGGTATTTAATAAGATTCAACATATGACATGCATTTTTAATGACTTGTGGTTATAATTTAAAATTTTTTTAAGCATATCTATCATAAAAACTACGGTTATTACACAGAAAATGAAAACTATGGAGTTACACATCAATATATAAGCTCTAAAAAACATTAATCGCTTTTAATTATAAGGGAATATTTCAACTGAATTTGTTTTATTTTATCAGCAATATCAAAGCTGGAAATAATTTATATGATGCAAAATATATCCGATATTTTACTGCAATTAAAACAATCGTTTTAACATCATTATGTGCTTATACGAATGTGATTTATTCGAGAAAAAAACAGAAACCTTT